CCAGGGCAGTGATCATCCCCCTGTACTGGGCACTGGTGAGGCTGCACCTCGAATCCTGTGTTCAGTTCTGGACTCTTCTCTACAAGAGAGACATTGAGGTGCTGGAACGGGTCCAGAGAAGGACAAGAGAGCTGGTGAAGGGCCTGGAGCCCAAGGGTAATGAGGAACAGCTGAGGGACCTGGGGGGGCTTAGTCTGGAGAAGAGAAGGCTCAGGGGGACCTAACTGCTCTCTACAACTACCTGAAAGGAGGATGGAGCCAGGAGGTGGCTGGTCTCTTCTCCCAAGTAACAAGTATAGGATGAGAGGAAACGGCCTCAAGCTACACCAGGGGAGGTTTAGACTAGATATCAGGAACAATTTCTTCTCTGACAGGGTGCTCAGGCATTGGAACAGGCTGCCCAGGGAAGTGGTGGAATCACCATCCCTGGAAGCATTCACAAAGCACGTAGATGAGGCCCTCAGTGACATGGTTTAGAGGTGGCTTTGGCAGTGCTGGGGAATGGTTGGACTTGATGATCTTAAAAGCTCTTTTCCAGCCTAGCTGACTCTATGATTCTATGCTTTGACACAGCCTGCCCACAGCAGGCACCCTCCCACCGGCCTACAGCAGTATTCCCACTACCCCAGGAGTAAAGCCACCTGAGCTACCCCACGTCTGGAAGGACTCAAGTCTGTGGAGATTCACAAGCCTGTCAACACTCAAAGAAAAGGATGGCTTCAGCAACAAAGCAAGGACCTTGGGGACAAACAGGGAATGATGCCCAGCTCTGCTTGGGGCTGCCTTAAAGCCAGTGGCTCTCAGATAACTACAGTAGCAGCAAAGATAAGGGACCACAGAAATTATCATTCTGCTTTGCAGACCCTTTGCTATTAGTCAAACTGTACAAACTAGGACTGGATGGAGGGCAAGGCAGGGCTAACCCTGTAATAGCTGCAAGAGAGAATTGCCTTTGTGTTTTTGTGTTAGCTGGTGGCGAGTTGCTTTGATAGCTGACGGACAGACGGTGCTGATGAGCCTTCATCTGCAGTGCAGGGGCATGAGGAGCCACAAAGCCATAAGAGCAGGGCTCTGCAGCAGGACCCAGACCAGACAACCTGTCCCCAAGCTCAATCTCATGCCTGCCCCCTTTTCTTGCAGACAACCCAACATGGAAAACTGCACTGAAGATGACAGCATGCAGAATGGCATCGCGCTATTTCAGCTTCTAGTCTACATCCCAGTGCTCTCT